GGAACCAGCTGTTTTAGGACCTAGTCGTTGTCCCATTTATTTAAATTTACCCTGGCTTGGCAGGCAGGGACAGCTTATCTCTGATAAGGTTTCGTCTTGCATTTCTTCATGTTACTTTGCTGTGAAATTGCGGACCATTTTTAAGACCAGAAAGGTGTTACCCTCCTTTATGAAGGATAGATTGTCCTATTTAAGTAAAAATTCAGTGTTTTATCAATTTAAGTGCCGATGTGATTCGGTATATATAGGATGGACTAGTCTTCATTTGGAAACGCATGTTTCTCAGCATGTTCCTTCACATCTACGTAATCACGAACACAGGAATAGAGTTTCTCAGTCGGTCCAGGAGTCGGCTATTGGCCAACATCTGGTGGACAACCAGAATTGTGCCTCTGCTTATCAGGACACTTGGTTCTCTGTCCTTCACAGTGTCCAAACCGAATTTCATTTACGTGTTTTGGAAGCTCTATATTTAAAATTACATCATCCAAATTTATGCAGGCAGAAAGACTATTTCACAAGATCATTGAAACTCTTGGAAGGATTGTGAGTTAAAATTTTTTCCCTTTTATTAACTCTTTCCAAGCTGAGATTTATACTCCCCTTATGTTTTAATTATATTTTCAATAAATTTATTTTAAACGAGCTCAGACTTTTCTTCCATTTTAGTAATTATTTCAATATTTGTGTCCTCTTTATACTAATAAATAATGTGCCAACACGTTACCTATGAATAAGTATTGGGCGAAAGATATCTCAGGTGCTATTTGTCGATAAAAAAATAAAAAGGTTTGATTAATAAAATGGTATCCCTGTTATTTAAATCTATTCTGAGGTTCTGTGGGTACAAATCTTTATATATATATATATATATATATATATATATATATATATATATATAGACTCGATACAAATAAAAAGTTTAACACTAGCTGATTGATGTTAAGTTCAGCATCCCAACTCCAGAGATTCATATACAGACATGTCTGTCCAGTGGTCAGGGTGTATCAATAATTGACTGCTGATACTTCTCAATTTTTCCTTTTATATGCACTTATCATTGGTGCAAATTTTTTTTATTTTTGTAATAGTGTTTGCATGCATTTGTGTTTGTGCACATGTGTCCATGCACCCATATGCGTGGATATGCATATGTGTAGAATGTTGCAATGAGACAAAATTGAAAATCTTTATCTTTCCTGAACAAAAACACCTCTTCAATAAAAGATCCGAGCTTGTTATTAAGTGTAGGCATGACAATAAGTTCTTGCTATGGCACTTGTCACCTAGTTCCTGACTAAATCAAATGGAGAAATATATTTCCAATTTGGTAAATGTCAACTGTGACTAATTCTGCCACCACTTTAAAGCCAAATAAAGTGTTAATTGGAGTCAGTTGATTGGTTGAATTTATTGAATGAATTTACAATTTGTTCCGGCATTTGATGATTGAATTTATTGTGAAACTGACAGTAATGACTAAGGGCTTGAAAAGATTAAGATTTTAAATGCTTTTAAAGGCATCTTTAAAATCATCAGTCTCTCTCATATATATAACAATAAAATTGGTCACCACAAGGTGGTGTAATGGTTAGTTTGTCTTGCTAGAAAAATTATGGGTAAGAGTTCGATCCTCACTGGGTGCCCCATAATTCCAGCCCTGTGCCACATCTAAGCTACGCTTGGAAAATCGCTATATAACAATAAAATTTTCAAATACTCAAATGTAGTATTCAGTGTAGAAGATAAAATACAGAGCAATATACAAAATAAAAATATTCTTTTTACTAAGTTTTTGTTGTATCTGAAGATACAGCAAAAGTTAGGTAAAAAGTAGCTATATATAAATATATATATTATTCATATTTCAATTTATATATGTGCACAGATAATGTTAATAGTTGAAATGACAAGAGAAAAACATTTTATGCCAATTTGTTTAATTCCTTGAGGAACTTTGCCAAGGCACGTGTGTGTGTGTGTGTGTGTATCATCTTCTTTTCAATATCTTAACTTCATATTTCAAGCATTTATAACAAAAAACTTCCCTCAACATAAAATTTTACATTGTTTCAAAATGCAAATATTTTATTATTGATGTGATGCCTATCTGTCGAAACATAAAAATGAACATTTAAAACTTATATAGAACAAATTTTATTTCAGTTAATATAAAATTATAGAGTAATTTATTTAAGACCTATTTTGAAATTTTTTGAATTGAAACCTAAAAAAGCTAATATATATTTGAAAATGAGAAACAAAGTTTCTATTGTAACAAGAATCTGAAATATGAAATGCAAAATATGTTCTCCTTCAACTTGCTCATAAGGTTGATCCATTGAGACTTTTCTGCGTTTCTTTTTTTTTTTTCCAATAAAATAATTCAATAAAAATAAAATACTTTTACTTTAAGTAATTTATCCATTATTTTTCTGGGGTTTTTTTTTGTTTTTTTTTTTAATTTTTCAATTTTGATTTTCAACATTGGACTAAATTGAAAAATCAGTTTCTGTTTATGAAACAATAAATTTTTGACAGATCTAAAAATGAAAAGAATACAAATTCTAATTTAATTTAAAATTAACTAATTTCTAATTTGTAATATTAGTTATTTTCTACTCACTACTAATTTTTTTCTTTTAAAACGAAGACTATCAAACCAATCAGTAATCGAAGAAAAAAAATTAGCACAAAGCAAGAGTTATGCCCCTTGCACTTCTATACGGAAAAAGAAAGATTCCACAATCCAATTTTTTAAAATTCAGACAGTTTATAACAACGGTTCCCAAAGTGGGAGGCATACCTCACGAAGGAAGAGTGGGGGGTATTTTTAAGAGGGGCAAATTGAGAATGAGTTATTAACAGTTAATTTTTTCCTAATGAGTCTATGTGAGTATGAGTGTGTGCGAATTAATACATACAATTCATACAGTATGCATACATAAAAATATTTGTATGTATGTACATGCGTAATTACACGTGTAGTGTAGTATATTATATATATATATATATATATATATATATATATATATATTAGTAACACAATATTTTTATAAATATTGTATAATTCTAAAAATTAATGCATAATACTATTGCATATGTGCAGCAGTCTCAAGTTCTTCAGGAAAGCTAAGTTAATGGCCTTTTAGGCTTCCTCCACGTGAATAGTTCACTTTTTAAATAAGAATTATATGTCAAGCATGCATCAGGATTTTATAGATGCTTAAGTGGGGCATGGTCAAAAAAAAGGTTAGGAAACTCTCATCTAAAGAGTCTGCATGCATCTGGAGTTCTTTTAAATATTTCATTTTCTCCAATTTAATTTCCTTCTGATAATTTAAAGCTGAAGACATTGAAATCCAACACAAATTGTATTATATAACCAATTATTTACTTTACATTCAGATTTTAAATCTTCCTATTTTTCCAAAGGTTTATTAGATTTACGCATGTTCCATATCCAAAGCCTTAACTGAAATATTTTGTTTACAAAATTTTGATTCAAAAAGTGGTATAGTTTTCAATTAGTATTTTCTTAATGCTTCAAACGGGACATACAGCAATTGATTATATAAATGTATAATTTCGTAAAGAAAAATAAATTATTTTTCAACTTTCATACTGTTAACTATGCTGACTCTTGTAGTCATACCTAGGATTGAACTCACCATCATTGGTTAACAAATTTCTGAAGATATTAGACTCCTACTCCTCAGTTTAACGGATGTGTTCTAAGCAGTGGCAGTGGTTTGTCTCCCTTCCTGCCAAAATGGATTTAACCTTTAAGCAAAATTTCTCTTCAGGGAAGATTTTTCTATCTGATGAAGTGCTGTCACTCATCTTATACTTTATTGAGTGAGATCCTCTTTTAACAAATACTTTCTCATTTATTGAAGTAATGTAAGTTAGCAGGTGAAAAGTATATATCTATGTATTTCTAACAAAATTAAATATCTATATACAAGTATTTCTAACAAAAGTATTTGTATTTCTAACAAAAGTATACATCTATGCATAAATATTTCTAACTCTTATGATATGCTAGCAAGAAAAGCAAGAACTCACAAGTGATCTATTGTTTAGGACACTTAGCAATGGAGCAAGGTTTAATTAGTCAACCAGCAACCACCTACATTGACAAGCTATGCTATGACACAGAATGCCACCCTAATGACCTTCATGCAGGACCATGATGGCAGGCGTGATAGACTCATGATTGTCCAAGTAGACCGAATAAAAAAATAATAATATATGAGTATTTCTAACAAAAGTATTTGTATTTTTAACAAAAGAATATACCTATGGGTGAGTTTCTAAAGAAAAAATAAAGTCATGTTCTATTTTTCATACTTTCACATTTATTGATGTTGGGTGGTAAAATTATAAACTATATAACCAAATTTTCTAACAAAAGTATATATGTATAAGTATTTCTAACAAAAGTATATATCTATATATAAGTATGTAAAGAAAAATAAAGTCATGACCAATTTTCATCCTTTCCCATTTATTGAAGTAATATAATTTAGGGGGTGAAATAAAAAAATATATAAGCTTGACTTTTAACCTTTATATCTTCTCCTTTTATTATAATGTTCTTATTTTCCCTACTCAACTTCTTGTAATTCTCAAGTGAAGATTCAATCAGAGAATCTATTAAATGTTTATTGTCTAGACACCCACCTTCTTTTTCCTTTCTGTACCTGATTATCAGAATTAGGTTTCAAATTTATTTCTAAATATTTAACACTGCTAACCATAGTATTATGTCTGATTTAGCAACATAAGAAAAAGATTCTTTAGATTTGAAAATATATTATCATTTCTTCAAATGATAAACACAAATTCTAATGTGCTTCACCTACGTTATATAATTTTAAAACTAGAAAGAAAAATAAGAAAAAGTAGAAAAGATTGAAAAGAATAAAATAATTCAAAAATAAAAAGTTAATATGAAAAAAGATTTTTTAAAAATAAGGGAAAAAAATGAAACTTACCCACAGCTTGAGGCGAATTACATCGATGTTGCAGTGTAGGCGAACTGACTCCAATAACAGATCGTCTTCCATGACAACGACTAAAAAAAAAAAGAAAACAGCATATTTATTGAATGTTTCTAAAATAATTTTTGTAATATTTTTCAAAGACTCGTATGCAGGAAAACAAGCAGATGAAAATAATATCTATATTTTCATATTTTAGACTTGTTTGTGCATAATGTCATAGATTCATTTAGTGCAGTTATTTCTACAGTCAGGTTTCAATTTGTAAATAAACAACAATTCTTGAATACTTTCCAAATATTGTTGCGCTATATGAGTTCAAATTTTAACATTTTTTTAATGAGATTTTATATTGAGTTTGTTTTTTTTTATAGGTATTTTTTGTTTTTTTTTAATCAGATTTTTAACATTCATTTAAATCATATATGAAATTTTGTAGACAGAATGGAATCAGTTTTAATGAATAAATTCAAAATTAAATTTATATTTTTTTTTAAAAATACACTATTAAACTAATAAATTATAAAAAATTCTTTCTGCAGAAAATGACCTTTAAGAATTTTTCTAACCATTTCCTCTGATCATATGTATTGTAATAATATGCAATTATTGCATATCAACTAAAATAATCCCAAGATGCATGATTAATTTTTACTCCTCTAAATATGAAGATATTTCATATAATTACTAAAATGTAAACAAATAGACAAAAAAAAATTACTATTGGTTTGAGAGCTTTCACATCTGCTTGCTTGGTTTAGGAGCTTTTTTTCTTTTTTTCACAATATATCAAAGTTAACTCTGAAAATGATCTGATGTAGTTTTTATTGTTAAAAAAATTGTCCTTGTGAAACTAGTATGAGACATGGCAGCTAGTTTATGAATAGCAATGCAAGGGATTTGGAAAATTCAACACATTAAGATAACTTTCAGTATCTTCCTTTAAAGATATTCAATTTTTAAGTAATATTCCATCTTGGCAAATCACAACTCAATTATTCTATTCAGAATTTGTTATGATGGCTTTCCGTTGTTTAATGGTAAGGCACGCTTGGCAAATATTGTTGATAACTTTCAAAAGGGTCATTAAAGTTCAAATTTTGTTTAGACAATTGAATTCTTTAGTGTTCTTGATCATTGTTTCTCTTTTTGATAATTCTGCTGATGAATGGTGTGGTATGGATCAACTAAACATCAACAAAAACAAAGTTCAAAATTTCAAAGAAAATTTGGAATTGTAACCAAAACCTATTTCACATATTACCATTCTTAATGTTATACTGGAACACACCTATTCTATTGTTAATAGATTCTCCCACCTATAATAAGTAGGAGTAGTAGCAGTCGCTAAGTAGATCAGGAAGTTGGTCAGTCAGTCGATGTCAGACAACCGTTAGTCGGATATTAAAGTATCAGCCACCACAACTAGATTGCTGCGTCATTAACTATTAATATCAAGTTCCTAACGTTTTGTACGTCGAACCTATTTTAGGACCGACTTAGTGAAATACAAGCTTCCACTGTGAAACTACTCTATAACACTTAAACATGTCATTGCTTCAGTAACCATTTCTTTTTTAACTTCAATAAAGTTAATGTATTCCATCTAAAATTACCTGCAAACATGAGCATTTTCTTAAAAAACACTGTCATATTTGTTGGCGTACAGGTGGCAAAATAGTTATTGGTGTAGAAAATAGAATCTACCAAGCAAATTCAAATTCCATCCATTCACTTTGCACCAATGCTCTTGAGACAGGCATAAATATATCCCATCCCTTAACTAAAAGATAAAATAGAAAGGTAGATGGAGCTTATCTAGCTTCACTTGGCAACTGCAAAGAAGGCAACAAAAAACTGCTTCAATATCTTTACTAATTCAGTCAGGGCAATTCACAGATATTAAAAGAGCAATGAACACCAACATCCAGATAGAATATAGCAATTAAAAAATAAGGTGGCATGTGGTTTTATGTAAATTTATGAAGGAAGTACTTATCCTAATGAAACCCATTAGAAAGAGGATGGTTTCATTCTGGCTACACTCAGTAGGCAGAGGATGGATTCATTCCGGCTACACTCAGTAGGCAGAGGATGGATTCATTCCGCCTACACTCAGTAGGCAGAGGATGGATTCATTCCGCCTACACTCAGTAGGCAGAGGATGGATTCATTCCGCCTACACTCAGTAGGCAGAGGATGGATTCATTCCGCCTACACTCAGTAGACAGAGGATGGATTCATTCCCGCCACACTCAGTAGACAGAGGATGGATTCATTCATACACTCAGTAGACAGAGGATGGATTCATTCCGCCTACACTCAGTAGACAGAGGATGGATTCATTCCGCCACACTCAGTAGACAGAGGATGGATTCATTCCGCCCCACACTCAGTAGACAGAGGATGGATTCATTCCGCCACTCAGTAGTCAGAGGATGGATTCATTCCGCCTACACTCAGTAGACAGAGGATGGATTCATTCCGCCTACACTCAGTAGACAGAGGATGGATTCATTCCGCCTACACTCAGTAGACAGAGGATGGATTCATTCACCTACACTCAGTAGACAGAGGATGGATTCATTCCGCCTACACTCAGTAGACAGAGGATGGATTCATTCCGCCTACACTCAGTAGACAGAGGATGGATTCATTCCGCCTACACTCAGTAGACAGAGGATGGATTCATTCCGCCTACACTCAGTAGACAGAGGATGGATTCATTCCGCCACACTCAGTAGACAGAGGATGGATTCATTCCCCTACACTCAGTAGACAGAGGATGGATTCATTCCGCCCACACTCAGTAGACAGAGGATGGATTCATTCATACTACACTCAGTAGACAGAGGATGGATTCATTCCGCCTCACACACTCAGTAGACAGAGGATGGATTCATTCCGCCTACACTCAGTAGACAGAGGATGGATTCATTCCGCCTACACTCAGTAGACAGAGGATGGATTCATTCCGCCTACACCCAGTAGACAGAGGATGGATTCATTCCGCCTACACTCAGTAGACAGAGGATGGATTCATTCCGGCTACACTCAGTAGACAGAGGATGGATTCATTCCGGCTACACTCAGTAGACAGAGGATGGATTCATTCCGGCTACACTCAGTAGACAGAGGATGGATTCATTTCAACTACACTCAGTAGGAAGATAATTCATTTTGACTACAATAGATCTGTTACTAAACAACCAAAAATGAAATAAATTTAGTAAATGTATCCATAAATATTACTAGAAGTAATAAATCGGATTATGATTCATTAAAAGAATTTTTCCAAGTATTGTTAGCTTTACTGGTATCCAAATAACTTAATACTAATAAATTTGGCAACTCTTTAATAAAAGACACATGAAGGCATATACCATGTAAGTGTGAGTGTGTTTATATACTTTTATATGCATTGCTAAAAAGCATCTGCAGTAATGTTCCCAATAAAGTCTTTACTGACCCTGAATCTGTTATAGTTTCACACCTGAAACATTATTACTACGTACTTCTCTATGATGGAGATGTTTTTCTTCTCATTCATATGAACTACTCATTAAAGAGGTACTGTTATGTTATTTCAAAGGACTTCTGACTACGATCAACCAGTGGCTTCCACTTTGGCAGTTTAGGCAGATGTCTAATACTGAGGTTGAGTGTTGACATAATGTGTGCTTTTGTTAGTTCTGATCATTAACAAATTTCACTATCAGTGCTGAAGGAGTGAAAGTTCATATTGCCAAAAAGTAGCACTTTTTTTTTTAAGTTATGCTGTAAAATGAAAGAAATTATATAAAAGGGGAGGATTTTAAAATGTATATGAACTCCATCATGACCAGCTACACATTAATCAGACAAGCTTATGGTCAAATAAATAATAAATATTTGCATTACTTGAATTAAAGTGTTTTTTTTTGGGGGGGGGGGTTATTGCTGTCCTTTCAGGATGTAAGCAATTATAGCTCACCACAGCTTCCTTTTCTTTATTAGTTATGAATTGCCATGACTTCTCAGAAAAGATAGTACAGAGATTTCTTGATACCTTCTAAATGGTTTTGAATTCAAAGTTTTCTTACACCTAGACTGGCTGCCACCCAAGCCCATTCTATCTTGGTTAAATAACAAGATAACTTAATAAATAAGTTACCTTTATTAAATGTCATGTCACTTCAGAATGTAGGAAATTATGGCTCTCTACAGCTTCCTTTTCTTTATTATCTCTGAATTGTCCGGCTTCTTGGGAAAGATAGTGGAGTGGTTTCCCACTGCCTTCTCTATGGAATTTAAAGTTGTTCTACTAGACAGGCTGCCATCCTAAGTTTGGGAGCTCATGATTGATTGATTCATTTTCTACAGTCTATCAACCCTTTGCAGGTTATTTAAAGCCAGAAAATGTTTTTAGATTTTAAGAACTTTTTTCTTTTTTGAAATAATAATGGTTTAGTGATACAAGTCTTACTAATTAACCTACAGCTGTCAGGTAAACAGATAAATTCATACCTTTCCCAAAGGTATTTGTGCATAAGTGAATATAATGAACAAATTGGAATTGGAACTTAACTCTCCAATTAACAATTTTGAGCTATTATCCATTAAACACCCCCAAGCTTACAGTATCTGGTATTCTGAAGTGGTCACCCATCTAGGTACTGATCAGTTAGGGAGCCCAGTCTACCCTCTTATTTAACCCATAATAGGAGTGGAGAGATGGATTCATGCTTTTCCCAAGAAAATTTTTGTGAAAGTGAACACAATTGATTTAATAAGGATTAGAACTCTGTTCACCAGTTCCACTTTTTATGCTATTAACCATTATCTAATCACAGATCAATTAAAGTGATTAAAAAGTTTGTTTTTTGGGGTTTTTTTTTTACTTCTGATAACTAATCATATATAGAAGTGTTTGCTCCTATCTAGTTCTACATTACTCTAAAATGTGAATATTTTAGAGTGTTCAATTTCTATCAAATATTGCTAATCTAGAAACTCATTATCATAATGAACTAAAAGAAAGCAACAGAGAAAATGACAGAGAGAGAAAAAAAAAATGATGACCTTTAAAAGGAAC